AATAAACAAACTATAGTATACTCACCTTTATCCTATGTTGTAGTTTTCACATGCATGAAAAAATGAACACTCCAATTCTTTTACAGAATGGATAGCCACCCTCTACATGCACAGAGTCTTTCCAACATATAGATATATTTAAAATCAGAACATACTATTTTCTTTCTCTTTGCAATTGGAAATAAAACCTTGGTGAACATTTCTAAATATAACATATTGATAACATACATTTCTGTAGACTATGTTCTGAGAAATAGTGACTTTTGAATGCACAGAAACACATTTTACAAGATGTTTAACAATGTGTATGCCATTGGGAATTGGGAAACTTTTAAGAATATGCATAAACTGAAAATTTATTTTTAACATCCCTAAAGATAGGTTCAGATAAAAATCAAATAATGAATCCTGCTCCCCCTTCAGGAAAAGAAAAAAGAAAACAAAGAAAAATAAAGAAAATTATATCTCTGGAGAGGTCAGGTCCAGTACCTCCTGTGTCTACCTGAATTCCTCTTAGAGGAAATCATATAACCTGTCTCTCCACTCTTCTGCTATAATTTGTTTTAAACTCAATCTCAGGATACTGTGACTGTGTAACATCTCTTATGTGTTAAGATTTTGTAATATTAGTTGATCAGTTTTCTCGTTTAGTTTTGCTTTTGGTGTACTTTTCAGAAAAAGAAAAACAAACAATGATATTTCAGATATTCAGATCCAAAGCAATATTATGTTCAGTTTTTTCTTCCATTATTTAATTTTTGTTCAAAATGTCCTTATAGTGTCTGACTTAAATGAATATGTAAGCTTATATATTTTCTTTAGGCTTCCTTTACTTATTTATTACATAATCTTTTGTCATCAATGAGCTTAACTTTTTATGTATGAAGTAAGAAAAGAATATATGCTTTGGGCTTGATTTGCCTGAGAACCATTTATTGAGCAATCTGTCCCTCATGATTATAATACTGACCTTTTCTCATTCTTTATCAAACACATTTTTTGTTTGGTGTAGTTTTGTTCTTGTTTACTTTTTGAGACAGTTTCACTGTGTAGCTTTGAATGGCCTAAAGGTGACTTTGCAGACCAGGCTGGCCTAGAACTCACAGAGATCCTTCTGCTTTTTTACTTCAGAGTGCTGGTGTTATTGGAATGTGTCTCTGCACCAGGCTTTCAATGGACATTTTTGTATTGTTTGATGAAGTATCCTTTGACTGTCTACTGGATGCTTTGTTACTAATACTCTGTTAACAATGAAAGTAATCTATGTCAGAGCAAAGTTGTTTCTGATGACATGGAACAATAGATGTAGTTTGTTACAACATTGCAACTTTAAAAAAGGAAGTCAAGAAAAACATCATCATAATTGATCTCAAACTTTGATTTACAGTATTTTGTAACTGAAATTCATACTAGTGAGTAAATACATATACATGCCTTTATATTGCTACTAAATGGGAACTTATTTTACTCTGAACATTTTCCAGTAACTAATACATCCTAAAGCTGCCACCAGTGTCATGTCAGTCACTACTTTTGCAAGCACATCACAAAGTGTGGTGCCATTTAATTCTTAAACTCATTTCTGTATGTATTTATTCAACAGTATCTTGGTAATAGATGCCCAATAAACATTTACCAAATGGGGGAAGAGTGAATGAAACACACTACTTAAGTGGAGTGCTACACAAATGGCATAGTATTAATAGCTGCCTCAGAAAGTTTAAGAATGGCTGACACAGGAACAAATGTGTGCCTTTTATTCACAGCAAATCTTGAGAGATGAATAGCAGCCAAGTGTGATGTGTGATATTCACAGCAAGTCATGGGAGATGAATAGTAGGCACATGTGCTGTGTGGCTTATTCTTACTAGTAAGAGATTTATAGGTTAGGTGTCTATGAACATACTTGAGTTCTAGTTCTACATATGCCAGGTCTTTTGTCATGATTAGTTATGTTGTCACTCTATGTTAAATAGAATCTGAACTAAAATATGCAAGAAATATGAAGACAGAAGACCCAAGCATTACACATCCTTCTAGTTAAGCCACTGGTACATCTCCAATCATGTGAGATACAAAATTTAGAGATGCATATATATGAACAAAGATTCCCTGTCTGAACATGAGACCTATGGGCTAAACAGGGTTTCAATAAATTCCTGTGGTGAACTATTAATTTTCAGTGTCTCAGAGTGTGAGTGTGCTTGGGGAAAAATTCTTTACTAAGGATCATGTTTGCCTATTTGTTTGTTTGTTGTTTTGCTGCTAACCTTAGGAGAAAACTTCCCAGGGCTTAAGTTTGTACGGCAAGCAATCTACATTGTTTTCCAAATGAGAATATAGTTAGCAGGAAGTCACAGGGTGAAATGTAATCTGTTATGACTGGTATCCATATAAGAGGGAGATATATGGAAACACAGTAAGAAGACAGAGAGAGAAGATGTATCACACAATGACAAGGGGCCTCAAAAGCAACCAACCACAATGTCATCTTGATCACTGGCCTCTAATCTGCCTAACTGGGAGACATCAGATTTCAGTTGTTAAACTATGTGGTCTGTCATTCTTGGCCTTAGATGTCCTGGAAAATTAATACCATACAGAATTATGGGATGAAGTAACGGACAGTAGAGACAGGAAAGATATGAAAAAATGGGGAACAAAACTGAAGAAAAACTTAGGAATAGGAAAAGGTGCTGGAGAGTGAAAAGGGTAGAACCTACACAGAAGACTTGACTTGGTAGTTGATGAATGCATTCATATTAAAATGCAACAATGAGCCCCAATAATTTGTACAATTAATATGTCTAAAATAAAAAAAATTAAAAGAAAGACTAATATACTCACAAACTTAAGGAATTAGCGAGGCCATATGTTTGAAAAGGCTTTGAATCATTCTGTCCTTTTTCTGTATGTTCAGTTTTAGAACAGATGACTCATACTGGCACACATTGGTTCAGTTAGATCTGATCCATCTTTGTGGTAAAACACCATCAAAGAAAGTTGCCTTCTTGGCTGATTCTTCTAATTCATCTCTCCTTCGGTGGAGGAGGAGGTCAGCTTTAATAGACTGTCTGATGCCTAACCTTCTTTTGTATTGCTTTAGGTAAGTGGGACTAAGTAACTTGTAAAATAAGGAAATGAGTTTGGGTTATTATTCTGGGGACACAGACAAGATGGTGCCAGTGTCCCAGTGATATTGTACCACACTGTGGTAGAGAAACAAAGAAGGAACTAGTCATGGATATAAGGGTGCACATATAACCCTTATTAAGAGACAGGGAGAAAGCAGGGCAAATGTTACTCATAACAGTATGCTCCTTAGGAGACATGTCCTCTCTTACTGAATTTGACACTCTTGGGAGGTAATGTTAATTTATTCATAAGGGGACAGCTATGACCTAATTATCTTCCACTAGTTCCTGACTCTTCAAAGTGATCATCTCATTATCAGTGTACTGAGGTTTATGTTCCCAGCATATGAACAAACCATGCCACCAATTCTACCACGAATTTTCAGACCATGACCTAATCCTGTAAACTAAGGTAACTTTAACCTTTGGCTGAGTGACTAAATGACTAAAAGACCTTGGATATACACCAGGCTCTAAAAAGAAACTTCTAGGGATTCAGTTCACTTAAATGCCACTTGCCAGCATTCTCAGGGCATAACAAACACAGGAGAAGTATGGAATGGAGACATCCATACTTCCTCTCAGTTTCCACTCAGGTTTGTAGACAGTAGAAATGAAATGAAAACCCTTTAATTGTGGAAAAGTCAGAAGATAAAGAAGGGGGTATGTAACTGAAAGGGCTAAACCCCATTAAAGTTCCATGTCCTAGGTAAAGGAATATTGCCTACTCTTTGCCCTAACACAGGACAGAGAACTCCTACTCCCCCCCCCCACACACACACACACTGTCCTCAACAGCCACACATCCTTTTCATGGACTCAGGGTTGTTCATGAACCAAGTCTGATTTGCTGTCATATTCTGATTCCACATCTAAAAGATACATTTCTCTAAGTCATTGTAATAAGACAACATGAGGATAAAATTTAAAAAGCAATAGAGAGAAAAAGTCACAATTTTCCATGCTATGTAAGTCAGCATAATTCATTTAATAACTGTGTCATATGAGAAGAGTAAATAAAGGAAAGGGAAGGGTTGTGGATACATATGGTCACTGAAGCATGTACAATTGCAAGGAAAAACAAATTACAAGGGTAGTGCTGGAAATGAAAGCATGGTGGGAAATATCTTTTGAATGCTAATTTGGTTCTTCTAGTGAACCTTAAAGTGGCAGCATCTAAGAGTGCATTGTTTATATCTCCTTGCTTGTATTGGTAGTAGTCATATAACCTGGTGGCTTTGAAAACCAAGTAAACACCTTCCTGAATCTACTGGGAATTTCCCTTAAGTGGTTCTCTACCTGGGCTCTAGCAGGACGATCATTTCATTTACAACATCTTGCTGGTGAACAGTTCTTCATCACAGGTGTTTTCAAAAATGCATGAAATTAATAAGTGCAGCAGAATCAACAATGAAACACAGCTCTCTCAGGACACAGGTGCAGCCTTTGGGGTTTGATTCACGTTAAACACCAAGACTCTCTGTCTAAAACGAGCAGTTTGTGTCTCTTACTGAAGTCCTTAGATTCGCAAGGAAGGAAATTTAATTTGTGACGAAATATTTCTGAAGAAAGAATTGTTTCTGAGTGACAAGACCCAAACTTGGGTCTCATGTCATAAATACAGACTTTGAAGAAAAATCACTTTCATTTATTGACAGATAGGAAGCAAATCTTCTTTGACTTGGTATGCAAAACATTTTCACATATATCATTTTTCTATTGTTTCTTCCTCAAACAACAAGAAGAAAGGGGCCTTGTTTCTGGCTGTATCAATCTCTCCACTAAAACAGCTGCTCTATACACACCCAGACATTGTACTGTCAAGGCTGGCTCCCACCCGCTATTTCTTCTGGTTCAGGGCCTTACCGACAGTGTTTGTGGGATCCTGTCAGGGTCTCAATCACAAAGCACTCGCCATCATTGAGACAATAAGCTAGGTCCTTGTCTCGGCAGGGTTTGAAGTGCTCTGATCGTTCAGTGGAGTATGTCGTAGTATCTGAAGAGGAGAGAAAAGAGGGAGATATGGTTGACATGTATTATCATACAGAGCACTTCTATCATCAGCTGGAGTTGTGAGTCTAGGACTATGCAAAGGCAATACCCACAGGGATTGGAGACAGTACCAATCTTTAACGAAACTAACCTACACAGCTGAATTTATCTACTGTATTAAGTTTTTTAACAGCCAGTCCTGTATCCTAGGATTCAACTAACCATAGATGAAAAATAATTCAGGAAAAATAACTTGTAACTGGGCATAAAGAAGCTCATCTTTATTGCCAGCGGTGGAGGCTAGAGGATCATGAGCTCAAAGAAAGCCAATGCTATATACAGAATACAAAGTGTTGCTTTTCCTTAGGGAAAACAAAAGCAGCAACAACAGCAATAAAAACCAGGAAAAAAAAAAGCAAAAACAAACAAAACACCAAAAACCATGCACATACACACACACAAACACAAAAAAATAACAAAAAATAAAGGATGAATTAGCTAAAGCACTCTTAGTATTGCAAGGTACTGGATTCACTTCAAAGCACTGCAAACAAAATTAAATTTGTAGCTGGGGATGTGGAGCATGCAGTGCCTTTCATCCCAGCACTGGGGATTCAGAGATGGTTGGATCACTGTGAATTCAAGTCCAGCAGGGTCTACAAAGCTAGATGCAGGACAGCCAGGATTATTACACAGAAACACCCTGACTTGAAAAACCACAAAAAAATAAATTGTATCTGTTCATACATTTTCTCCTTATCAGGATTCCCTAAGCAAAAAAAATGACATCTATTTAAACAACATTTGTATTGTACTATACATCCTAAGTGTTGGACATGAGTTAAGAAGAAGTGCATAGGAGATGTAAACACTGAATCATTGTAGGTAGGGGCTTGAACATCTAGTCAGAACTCAATTTATGCCTTGGGACCAATCTCTTACTGCATTTTAACACTGGATCACACAGGTGCTGTGGTTCTCAGCCTTCCTAATGCTGAAGCCCTTTAATTCAGTTCCTCAAGTTGTAATGATCCCGACCATAAAATTATTTCATTAATCCTTCATAACTATAATTTTGTTACTGTTATGAATCATGAGATAAATATCTAATATGCAGGATATCTGCTAAACTACCAAAAGGAGTCATGACCTACAGGTTGAGAAACACTGCTCTAGAGATTAGCCCCTCTCCAACTTGACCACACATAACATCAAGAACTGAATGAATGGTTGTAAGTCAAACACAGTCCAAAACTTTTGTTCATTTTACTTTTAACCAATATGCTGCATGAAGGATTGAAACAACATAGAATTCATTCCCTTTATCATTTCCAAATGTTGTTAAACATTTGATAAATATACATCTTAACAGTTATGTGGAGATGTCAGGTTGGGAGTGCTGTGCTTATAACTATAATCTCCCAATAGCTGGTAATTTTTCTTTCACATTTCCATTTCATTATGTAATAAAAATTTCAATGCTCCAAATTCTGGAAGACAGTAACATGTAAAGAATAATCATGGGAAAATATTTAATGGTACACACAATTGTGATTTTCAGCATTCTTTAAACATGTGCTTTTAAATCACAGTTACTTATACTTTTGTCATTAAGCAATGCATATACATGCATCCCAAATATTAAACAAGCCATAAATACATCCTAACAATAAGATGATTCCACTGCCTCATCTACATATCTTTTTCTAGTTTCAGAGTTTTGAGCAACTGAAGCAAGTCCACTGCAATGGCCTAGAAAATACATGTTTTTATAAGTAAAAGATGAAGAGAATTGGTCACAATATTTTGTACTTCAGGGTTTCAATCCCAAGTCTATCCACTCTATAATTCAATGACTTCATGGTACTGAGCCCTAATCAGAATTAGTACTCAGTAAAATATGGACAATAACTATGCCCTCCATGATATCACAAACCAATCAATTATCATGAATGAAAGATAAGATCGTTAATGACATCACTACAGTGCTACTACTAGTTAATGTGTCTCTAAGAAGTAGATATGGTTTAACAAGGTGTAATAGTTTTGGTGTATTTCAGTATTTGGATGGATATTTCAATATGATAACTTCCGAGCCCTCACTCATAAGTTATTTCTATACATTAAAAACAGGACTTTTGAAGTCCCTTTTTGTTAAAATGGGGACTATTTTCTGTTTTAAGATAACTTCCTATTAAGACTTCCCACAAGATAATAGACAAAATAGACACATTCTGTTTCCTAAATATTCTCTATGGGAAAGATCTTTAATTTTTACTATATAGCCACACAGAGTCCATGTTTTTTTCTATGTGGAATAGATGACATGCAGGCACCCCAAGCAGGAAATTCAGTATGAAACACGGCACAGTTGATGCTTTCCCAACTGCTGAAGTATGCTGTTAATTCATGATCAGCTACTTAACTTCTCCTTTAATTTCTTATTACCCACTGATTGATACTCACTGATCATTTCTCTAAGAACAGCTTTCATTAACATAACCTACAGCCGAAAAAAAAAATAAGATCCTTATTTTTATAATCAGTGGTTTTAACAAGCTACAGACTCAGAGTGCAATACAATGGCAAAGCAATTACAATCAATTAATTTCCATCTGACAATTGCGGTCTCCTGGGGTTCCCATACAATCCCACCAATTACATTGCTGTCACAGTGGGAATCATCTGTTAGCACATTACAGAGGATCAGGGACCCCACGAAGTGGTTCTGAAAAAGACCTGGATATGAGAAGATGTGAATACAGACTTGGCATGTACTTGAGTCATCTATACTCGTATCTTGAAGAATCACAGAATTAATTTCAGATACTAACTGATTTCCAAATGAGCATCTGATTATTTTTTAAAGCTCCATGAGATGGGCCATGTGAGAGTGCTGTGATACTCATATAAGTAAATCAACAGAAATTATCAGAAATTTTAAAAATCTCAGCATTCACCCAAGCATTTTACTGTGATATTCACATGGCACTTCTCATCACAAAGCACAAGATGTGGGGATAAGGTTATGACATATGATTCATGAAGTAAAAGTTCATTCTTAAAGTAATCATTCCAAAAACATAGATTGACAGGTTTCAAGACTATATTGCTATACAAACTTGAAAATAACTTATCTAAGATTATATTAAGTAACATACAGAAAACCAAAGTAACCATTACTTAGGCTGTCTATAATTTATAATCATATGTAGCCTAGCATAAAACAGCAGGCATTGTGGATAACACCCACTAAAATTGATAAAACCTGTTTATGAGCATACATACATATCTGTCTGTATGTGTTTAATGTTTAACATAAAATCATTACAAAACTCATAATATAGAACATAAAATAAAAATCAACTATCATATATCATTCATTATATTGTTTTTGTGTCCTACCTAAGGTAGCAAAACAAATGAGATATGTCTTCAGTCCTTTAAATTTAAATTCATGGGCTACATCAGGGATCAGATACCACATTCTCACCTACAATCTCAGCCAATCCATATGGGACATATTTATAGTTTTTAAAATTGCAGTACCATTAAGAGAATCTAGCACACTAAGCTGACTATAAAGTGCACATTAATATTTTTTGCATGTATTTAATCAAATTTATTTTTAGAAGCATATAATTTGGTAATTTTAACAAAATTATGCTATATTTATTTATGAATTTTATGCTATATGAATGAAAGACTTGGTAAATTGATACTTCCATGAATCCCATTTTTTCATAGTTCTTCTTAGGCTCACATTCACTAGAGCATTATTATTAAATACCCCTCTCTCTTCCTGTCTATGAATATCATATATGACAAGACTGAGTACTTCTGAGAACAGTAGGTTCACACCCTTCTGACCTCTAATTTCATAGACGGTTTAACAAAGATGTGCACATAGCAGATATTTATAGACTGGTACATATGTTTATGCTTGGACAGTTTTCTATGTTTATGTTGAAAAGTGTGATTGAATTTTTTTTTGTCATCATAAGAAATGAACTCATGGGCTAGATAGATTAGATAGATGGCTGTGTGGTCAAGAGCATTTGCTACTCTTGCAAACAATCTGAGTTTGGTTCCCAAAACACACATGGAGACCAGGAACTGCCTATAGCTACAGTGCCAGGGTCTCTAATGCCCTCCTCTTCTTACCTTCCCAAGCATCAGTCATAAGTGGTACTCACAGACAAATGCAAGCACACACACATACTTAAGCAAACAGAACAAAAAAATCATAAAATATCTGAACAATTCAATATTTCAAAGTTTAGTCTTGAGAAGCACCTTAAAAACAACTTAAGAGCCAGATATGGTGGTGCAAGCCAGTTGTCTCAAACTGGAGCTCCATGGAGTATGAAGGAGAAAGACAAAATTCAATGGCAGCATGGGCAACACAAGGAAACCCACATTTAACAACAATGACAAGAGCAAAAAAAAAAAAAATACAAAAACAACTTAAAATGTAGATAAAGGATGGAGACCTTCACAGAAGTAAAGTTAATTCTGTGGGATGGAGGACAATGATGAAGAAATCAAAACAAAAATTAGGAAATGATTTTAAGGGAAAGGATCATAAAGGGTAGAGGAAGGATGATGGCTTTAAAAAATGCATAAAGCATGAAGGCTACATAAAGCATAAGGACATCAGGCCAATGACTCAGGGAAAGAAGGCAGGTTGGTGGTTGAGGAACCTGACCACAGGGGCTGGGCAATTATCTGGACCACTCATCTGGCACTTTGTTCCATGTGGTTTAATGTGTTTTCTTATTTTTATTGGGTTTTGATCTCTCTCCCCAAGGAGGTCACAGAGAGGGTTTTTTTTTTTCTTTCACTTTTGTATTCTTTCCACTTCATGTAGCATACATACTAAGCAATCAGCACAGTAATTAAGCACACTGTAGGAAGCAGTGGTAGTTAATTCATTAAAAGCAAAATGGGAAGAAAATGTATGGCTGGAAGACAGGAATCCCTGTGGATTTTTGCAATGAAAGT